AAAAACCCTCTAGTAGTGAATTCATATTCTAAAAATCATACTAAAAACCAATCCCATTAATCTCTCTTCTTGCTTGGAACACACTTATCCTCTTATTCTTGCTACTTTCCAAAGCAGTTCTGAAAATACTCTCTACCAGTGCATTTGACTGTGCTACAGTAGCAGTTCCAAAATCTTGAATCACTTGCAAATGTCAACCTTTCATGGTCATTTTGACTTTGAAAAAGAACCAGAAGTCATAGTACCAGACCTGGCGAATATGGTAGATGAGGGTACACTGTAATGATTTCATTTGATGGAAAAGAAACATAAATATTTTAAATGGATTCAGGACATAAAGGCAGCTATAAAAAAGTCACTCTAGAAAGAAGACTTCCAGAACTGCATCAGAAAGTGCAAGAACAAGGGGTTAAGTGTGTTTGAGTTGACAGGGAGAATTCTCAAAAGGATTAGTGGCAATGTGCCTTTACTTTAATCCCTTTTTTTTTTTTTTTTTTTCTTTTTTTTTGGCAGAACCAGGGATTGAACTCAGATGCTTGTGTTTGTCAGTCAAGCGCTTATCCTACTGAGCCTCTCTCCGGCCCCACTTTAATCACTTTTTAATTTAGATCTCTACTGTATATTTTGATCATGTCTTGTACTTCCCCCTATCTACCTGAAAGCCCTGTGAGGAATGAGATTCCTTTCTGGATATAACACTATAAAGATTATCAGTAACTTCTAGTGTATTCTGCTGTAACACATCACGAATGTCTATGCATGAAACATTTGTTACACCTTCCAGAGAAAGACTGGAACCAGTAGCCAATTTATGCACTTCAGACAAAAATAAATCCTGGCTAATCAAAATGCTAAAGTGCCACAAAAAAATGTCTTCAAAGCAAACCCTGCTACGGAATCCTGAAAGTACACCTTGAATTTGGGGTTCTTCAGTGCCATTTCACAGCATGTGCCACCCTTCAGGACACCACGCCAACCCAGCTCACTTCCTACTGGCCTGTCTTCCTGCTGTCCCTGGGCCTCACTGGCGGTGACAGGAACTGCAGGCTCCGTATGCTTAACTTGCGGGCTTATCTTTCCTCTTCCTAAAGGCCAAGCATAGCTTAACACAACGTATTTTCAAGCAAAGCAAGGGCCCAGGAAATAAGAGGTGTGAATTATGGAGAGATACCATCAAAGAAGTTGTAAGAAGTAACCAAAAATGACACGCAGGCCTTGAAGGATTCTGATTCACACGAACAATGAAAAGACGTCTCTGCCATATCTGATGTGGAACAGATCTCACATTAAAGAATTGCTGTTCATTTTTTAGATAACAAAGGTAAAGAAATTACATTTAAAAACTCTTATCAATTAAAGATGCACATTGAAGTACTTACAGATAAAATAACATGAGTCTTGGATTTGGTTTTAAATATGCAGTGTTAAAGATGATAATGAAGAAGAAAAATGCACAGAATAATTTTTTTTTTAATGCATTTACGACAGGGTCTACAGGTGTACAGGGTCTCACTGCATAGATCAGACTCCTAGTGATTCTCCTGTTTTCAGCCTCGAGCTGGTATTACAGGCATGTGCCACCACGTCCAATCTCAATCCTCTCAATCCATCTCAGGGGTGGGGCCTGGCAGCTACACTCTGCCTAAGCAGGCACTTTAGTCCACTGAGCTATCTGGCCAGCCCTAAAATGATTTTTAAGCAGCAGGAAGACAGGCCAGTTGGAAGTGAGCTGGGTTGGCATGGTGGGTCCTGAAACTGGTTAATGTATACAAAGAGTTTATTATGATAGTCTCTCTTAATTTTACATTAAAAAATTCCCAAATAAAAGTTTTCCTTCAATTATACATATTCAGTATACTTTTGTAGTGTTTTCATTTTTATATTTTTAATTTTTTAAAAATCTTTTATTTATTTGGTTCAGGGTCTCACTACACAGTTCAGACTTGTAATGATTCTCCTGTCTCAGCCACCCCAAGGCTGGGATTACAGGTGTGCACCACCACGCCTCGTTTTGGTGGCTTTCTCAGTGTGCCCAGGCACTGGGGATAATACAGCATGCCGTACCAGGGATCAAAGCCAGGTCACTGTGCTCGCCAGGCAGCCCTGTGTTTTTATTTTTTAACAGAAAGAAGGCAAGTCAATAAGTACTGATGTCTGAAAATAACTGCGGCATGACGCTAACTAGCAACAACTCATTTTATATATAATTTTAAAAAATGTATTTGGTACAGGTTCCCACTACACAGCTCAGACTTGTAGTAATCCTCCTGTTTTCAGCCTCCCCAGCACTGCGATTACAGGTATGCAACACCATGCCTAGCTGGCCGGTTCAGCAAGTCCAGCACTGGGGCTGGCGTGCATGTGGTGCCGGGGATTGAATCACGGCCCCTGTGCTTGCCTAAGCAAGCACTTAGTCTGCTGAGCTATTTTGCCAGCCCTTATAAAGATGTGAATATAGATTTAAATATTTCGCTCACCTTTTCCTTTGTTCTCAGCTCATCAAACATTTGTTGGATTTCCAGCTTCCAGTCATCTTGCATGGAATGGAAAGACTCTTGGGGCATTTCGGTCATCACAGCCACCTCAATATCAGACAGCTGTTGCAGGATTGAGGCAAATGACGGGCGAATATGTGGGTCCTGTTCCCAGCACTCTGGAGAAACAAGAACCCACAGCAGTTCCCCTGTCAGCACGTCCCAGTGACCTCCAAGAAGGCAGGGCTTCCAAGGCATGTTACTCTTAACTGTTTATCAGCAGAACCTCTGTCACTACAGACCAGAAGTTCACGTCTTCAGGGGCTGCTCCTCAATGGCCTAAGGAGCTATGGACGATGATCCCTTATGTCGTGCAGTGTCCAGGAGAGCAGCCTGCACGGTAACCACTCACCACAAGGCTGCTACTGTCTGTATTACACCATACTGAGAACACAGACATCTGCTTTGCAGGCTCTACCAAGAGCTGATGCTTCAGAGACCTAGGCCATGCCAAGAAATTTACTGATGCAGGATTACGTGTATATAGAATTTAACAAGAAAGCCAAGGTCTAAAATGTGATGAGAATCACAAGAGGAGCTCTAGGAAATAGCCTCATAACGCAGGTAACTTGGTGCTCACAAAGAGAAAGCAATCTTCTACAAATAAGGATCCAGTGGTTTAGGCCCATCCAACATTTCTGCTCAGCAGATAGAACATAACACAGCCAACGTGCACCCAGCTCAGGACTGTGCCGTCCTCCTCACCTACTCAGAGCAGTGGGACAGCCAAGTGCCACTCACTTGAGGCCTGCAGAGAAATGAACCACTGACAAAAATGAGTGGCTTTCGGTTACTCAGTTCACCAAAACTGTCAAAAGATGAGGTTTCTAAATGTAAAACAGTGTAACTTAGAAATAATTGACAACAGTAATCACAGGCATTGCTTTTAGGTTAAACACACGCAGACGCTCTCCGGAGTGACTTCCCTGGCCTTGCACACAGGCCGGCCAGGGCTGCACAGGTACCTTTCATGAGCTTGGCGAATGGCTCGGGGCAGGTAGATGGGATGGGCAGAGTGAGCTTGTTGACTGCCACGCCATAGGCCACAGCCAGACCATCGATGCCACGGTAGGGGACCTCTCCCGTGAGCAGCTCCCACAGCAGAACACCATAGCTGCAAAGCAAAGCTCCACATGTGAAATGGGCGGGGTGTGTCCTGCTCTAAAGATGGGGCTTGGTGCCACAGTGCAGCGCAGTAGCCACAGCGCAGGGCTGCAGGGCTGCAAGGGCTGGCTGAAATCTTAAGCATAATGAAACTCCCCTTCACACATACAGAGTCAAAGTCAGATAACAACAAGGGTCAGGAAGGCTACAGAGAATCAGAGCCCTCATGCACTACTGTTGAGAATGAAAACTGGTGCTGCCTCTGTGGGAAACAGCCTATCCTGTGCTCAATGGTTACACACAGAACTACCGTTTGCCCAGTGACATTATCACTTGTAGGGACCACCCCAGGAGAACTGAAAACATTCTGCCTCAAAAAGCTCACTCGTGGATGTTTGTGGCAGCACCATTCATGGGAAGCAAAACGTGGAAGCAATCCAAACATTCACCAACAGAGGAATGGGCGAGTAAAATGCGGTCTAGTTATAAGTGGAACATCAGCCAGAAAACAGGAGGAAGATCTGATGCAAGCTGCAGCCTGGAGGAGCTCTCCACATCACGCCCAGAGGAAGCAGCCAGTACAAGGGTGCAGGTACTAGAAGACTCTATTTACAGGACGTGTGCAGATAAACAAAGCCAAAGACAGAGTAAGGCCTGATGGCTGCTTGAGGCAAAGAAAGAAGGGAACCGGCAGAGACACGTAATGGGAACAGGGCTTCCCCTGGGACAACCAAAGGGCTCTAAATCCCCAGAGGTGATGGATATACACACAACCTTATTAATACACTAAATGCCACAGAAATTATACAGCTGAAGAGAGTGAACTGTGTGGCATGTGAACGGTATCTCTGTAGAGCTGTTAGAAAAACAACAGATGAAACACAGAATTTTAATACATGCCACTCAGGACTTCATACTTGCCACACAGGAACATTAAGTAAAGGCGATTAGGTCCTGGGTGCACCTGAACTATGAAGCGTGCGATGTCTCTCAGCCGCCTGTCACTGCTGCTGTTCCTATCTTCCTGAGGAGCCAACACAGTAGGAGGACAGCCTGACATTGCAGCTGCCTGCAGCACTCCTCTTGCCACAGGAATGTCCCATCGTTAGGTGGAGCAATCCGTAAAATGAAGCAATCACTCTAAATGTTTTCCTCAAATTTCCTCTAGGCTAATGTTTGTGAATTCCAAGGAATCAGAGGTTTGCTGATAGCCAGCCATGGTGGCGCATGCCTGTTATCCCAACACTCAGAGGCTGAGGCAGGAGGATCACTGCAAATTCGAGGCCAGCCTAGGCTATCTGAACTGCACAGGGAAACCCTGTCTTAAAAAGATTAAAAAAAAAAAAGTTTGCAGCAAGTGAGCAGTACAATATTTGTAGGCCTTTCAATCTTAACATTGGGGTTCATTCAATTTAGAACCAGGTTTGATCAAGCCTGAGATTTAACAAGAAAATTCTTCTACCAAATGGAATTACATAACAACAAAAATCTTAAGTTATTGGTCTTATTATTATTTTATTTTTTTTACAAACCTTTTTTTTTTGGTACTGGGGATTGAACTCAGGACCTTGCACTTGCCAGGCAAGTGCTTATTCCTTTGAGCTATCTCCCCAGCCCAAGTTATTTATCTTATTGTCATTAGGGCCATCTTTTTTGTTCTTTGCAATATTGGGAACTGATCTCAGGCCTTTTTATTGAGCTACATCCCCAGCCCATTTTATTTTTTATTTTGGAGACAGGATCTCATTAAATTACTACATTGCCTAGATTGGGCTTGAACTTGAGATCTTCTTGCCTCAGCCTCCCGGAATACTGGGATTACTACCAGCCATCACATCTAGCTTTTAGGGCCATTTGATTCAAACTATGAAGCCATCTTCCAGACGAACTTTGGATTCAGGGTCTCAGAGTCCTAGAATTGTCAAGCTTGTGACTGCGGACCATGCTATGCAAAGATGTATGCTTACCTCCAGATGTCGCTCCCCTTGGAAAACAGGGACGACCTGATGACCTCTGGGGCCATCCAGGCATAGGTGCCCGCTGCACTCATCTTGGTGGTCCTGTGCCACTCTCTTGCCAGCCCAAAGTCTGTAATCTTCAGTGTTTTGTTGTAGAAATCATCATGTTCTATCTTCTCCAGCAATAAAACTAAAGGGAAGGCAAAGATGGGACATTTTCATACTGATTTTTCAGTCAAAATTTCTTGCTGGCCTCTAAAACACAATTTCATTATAGTTGTTGGGGTAAATAGGCATTGACAGGCTCTGGCCCTAGTGTGAACTGCTGAATTATTATGGCGGTCGTCTAATATGGCTGAAGCCCTTAAAACAACAGCTCATCTTCCCAGAGACCACCTCCCCTCTTTTCCTCCAACCCAGCCCAGGGTGCAGTTTCCTTTCACCTTTCCTGCTGCCACAGGAAAGACCCCATCCAGCTCCTCAGGTATTTCTGAACATCCCCCTCAAACTCCACCCCTAACAAAACTCCACAAAAGCCTCAGCTTTCTGCATTTCAGGCCGGAGGATCTGCCCCACCTGCCCTCGATCTTCCCCAATCTCTTGACTGTGCTGCCAAAAAACCTATCAGGAATGATCTTGGATTTACCTTATTGTTTTCTTTTTTACAATATTAGGAATAAAAACTCAAGAAATGCTCTACAACTAAGGTAAAGCCTCAGCCCTTTATTCACTTATTTTTAAAATTTGAAACAGGTCCCCCTGAGTTACTCTCATGAAATTCAAGCTTTTTTTGTTTTTCTGTATTAGGTACAAGGTCTACAGGGCCTCACTACGTAGATCAGACTCAAAGTGATTCTCCTGTTTTCAGCCTCCCATGTGCTGGGATTACAGGCGCCTGTCACCACGCCCAGTCTCAATGGCACTCTGGGGGCAGAGCTGGCATGGCACACTGGGGATAGAACCCAGGCCCCTGTGCTCTGCCTTAGCAGGTGCTTTAGTCTGCTGAGCTATCAGGCCGGCTCTGATGCAAGCTTTTTGTATTTCATCTAACCTACCCCATATGTGTCATGGTTTTTAGGGGGTCTTTGGTGCCCCAGTTACAAGACTGTAAGAAAATCTACAAGAATGATACAGCTCAGGACTCTGCCTTTTTTTATGAAAAGTAAATGATTTCTAGGGACGAAACACTTTTACTGAATTATCACGGGTTGGATCAGAAGTCTGTGAAAGTCTGCTGGATATGAAAAAGCATACTGTTTTCTTCCAGGAAATTCTTTCCTAACCCAGCGGAGCATCTTTCTTACTGAATATATCAGAGAATATCACAAATAGATGATCTACTACCATAATTCATTTATCTTCAGAAATTATCTCCTATGAATATGTAAAAGGCTTATAATATCTTAACTCATAAAGATCATTCACAAGATATAATTGCATTACTCAAGTCCAAAGTACAGCAAAAGGCAAACTCTTCGGAGAAGCACCTCCCAGCTGCTGGAGTCCCCAACCCCAGTCCTGGTGATCTCCCAACTTCCAGGTTTGTGCCCAGTTTTCCGGACCTCAGCTGCCATCAGTGGGCTTCCGCCTGGACCTGCACTCCGCCCTCCAGCCCTCCTGCCTTCCTGCTGCCCTCCCACCCTGCCTGGAACCACGGGGCGTGTCCCTCAGGCTCCCCAAGGCAGCTAGAGGCTGCCCCCTTTTTCCCCTAGTACCCATCTCAGGGCCCACAGCTAGAAGGGTCTTCTTCCTAAGGGTCCGAGCATCCTTTATGTTTCTAATCTTCTAGGGACTAACTACCAGTACTTACAACACCATGGGTAAAACTCAAAATCATTGTTAAGTGACACAGCCAGTGGGAAGGACCCGTATCTGCTGCCCAAGGCAGTCCGGCACAGGAAGGACATGGACAGATATGGATTGGGGGTTGACAGAAACTGAGGAGACGGTCTGACTGTAAAAGGACCTAGGGGGCTTCCCAGGTGATAAGAAATGCCATCCCCTGATGACGGTAATGGCTACTGACTGTAAACATCTGTCAAAACTGACCAAGCTGCACATGCGCAGAGGGCAAGCTCCAGGTGTGTAAACCAGGCCCGGATGATCTTGCACTTCAAAACCAAAGCAAACCAAAAATCTTCAAGGCTCCCTGTGACTCAGGGACGATGTCCACATTCCTCACCTGCCCAGTGACTGCATTTTCCATTAGACCTCGCCCCTTCCGAGCCAGGCTGGCTCAACTTTCAGCTAGAGAACAAGAAGCCCCTGAACTTGCCCCAAGCAAGCCAGGGTCCCCTCTGCAGCTGCCTGGAGGTCCTGTTCCCATGACAGAACTCAGGAAGCACCGCAGACTTACTGACCGGCTTTTGCCTCTGCCCCTTCCACTCAGCAGGTAGCTGAGACAGAGAAGGTGAAGGAAAGGAAAGAAAGAGAACGGGGAGGGAGGCAGATGGGAGAACACTAATCCTGCCTGGTGTCTTGTGCCTGCTCTGCGGGGTCTGCTCAGACTCCATGCTGAATGTCTACAGAAGAAAACTGAGTATTTTATGTCTTCTCTCCTTTCGCGCTTCCTGCCCAATGGAAATAAGAACAAAGGGTCACTAACCGATACTGAGTGCCCACTATATGCCTCGTTCTTTACATGCAATTCATTCAGTCCTCACAAAAAAAAATCACAAAACACAAGTCTTAACCATCACAGAACTAGTGCAGACAAAAACTACAGTGACAAAATGAATCCATTTAAACGGCAATGAAAATTTCAAAATAGGGTGTCTGTGGTATATGTGGGCGGAGTTGTCATTCAGATTTTACCCTAACAAATAAAATAAAAATAAATTCATCATTTATGAAAGTGTTGTCATAACTGCACTAGCAAACATGCTCATTCATAGAAGACCACACACAGCTATACCAGTAACTGTGCTAATAATCAGAAAAGCAAAACAAATATATGAGGCTTTTTAGCAATAAATTATCTACATATAAGAGGAGAATGATACTCCTCACATCTATTTGGAAAATCAAACATGATTTCCCTTTTTCTTTTCTTCGTTTTAAATGTATTTGGTACAGGGTCTACTGGGTCTCACTATGTAAATGGGACTTGTAGTGATTCTCCTGTTTTCAGCCTCTCAAGCACTGGGATTACAGGTGTGCCACCACACCCAGTCTCAGTCTCAGTCTCCATGTGCTCCAGGGGCGGGACAGCACCGCATGCTGGGGATGGATCCCCAGTCCCTGCGTAAACATGATTTTAAAGAGGGCCATTTTTTTTCCAAACATTAGTTTTTATTGTGCACAGTCTACTTGTCAGGTGAGGTTAAAGGCATCTCATTATAGAACCCACAATAAAGTCTATGTGTAGACACCTTTATAGAAAACCGAGACCAGACACTAGTGATCTGACCCAGGTCACACAGTTAAGGAGCATATTATGGACAGCTGAGTTAGGTAGCAATCTTATAGGCAGTCAAATAGGCCTGGGCCCTCGAGTGAGTCAATGCAAAGATGAAAATCCACTCCAGCTGTGGCTGGGGGCCCATCTGCGGGAGGCCAGGCCTCAAGAGAAAGACAAACGACCAGCCCTAAAATAAGTGGTCTAACAACAGCTGGTATCATAAAGTCTAGCCCGACATCAGTCACTTCCATGGGTGATCAAGAACCCTGACACATCCCTTCCCGAAATCTTCTTTGTTCTTTCCATACATACTTGTTACATGACTTGCTTACCCACTGGAGCAAAGTTATCTAAGCAGCTGTACTTGCTGGTTGATTATAGCCTTAAGCCATGTTTTGACCATGTGGTTGTGCTCTATAAAACTTCCCCTGAAAAGTGGGGTCCTAGGCAAACTACTTTCTGGGCCCCCTTCTGTCTCTTGGGCAGAAGCTACCTCTCCCTCCATAACTATTTCCTACTCTTTACCTCCTTTGTTCCTTGGGATTCTTTCTTCAATTTTGAGGCACACAAATCAGTATTATCAGACACCTAGCAGCTTGGGAGTTATATTGTTTCTCCCACATCATGTAGAGGTCCTATGTAATGTCTTGTGTCAAGTAGAGAAGCTCAAGCAGGCTGACCCCAGAGGCTACAGACCCCAAAGCGATCTACACCGCCTTGCTGACAGCTTTCCTCAACTCTTCCCAAGAGCCTTCTTTCTCCTTTGGGAATTCGTCTTCTGATGGACACAATCTCCTGCACCTCGATCCTTGCTGCTGGTGACTCACCAGGAATGCAGCTGGAGGCCGAGGGACACAGTGACAGGCCACATGGGTTCAGTGTTGGACACTGGACTTATTTCCTTGCCTGGTCTGGGACACAGGGCAGAAGTCTTAAGTTTAGATCACAACAAGGAGCAGAACTGAACACAGGGAGGATGCTCATACTTCGGAGAGGCGGCTGCTCTGGAGAGCTTACGCCCACACAGGCACTCACTTTCCTCAGTGGAGGAGAAGTTGCTTTTAGCAAGTCTTCAAAAACACTGTCAGGGACTGCAGGAAATCTTGCAGTCCTTTAAGACTTTTATTTGCATTGGCTATCAAAATTCATCATATTAATAGTCATAATAGTTTAAGCAACTGGAAGTAACCAACACTAGGTTTAAACGGAGTAGGGTCAGCCTCAGTAAGTAAGCAACACCGATTACAGATACTGCTGTGTTGGCAGGATTTTTGTCCCATCTGACCTTGGACTGGGATATCTGGCGAGCCCTGGCCCTCCCCAACATTCTCGGGCCTACCACAGAGACTAAGAGACTCAGATCCAAGGGATTAAAGGCTCATGGGCACCTAGGAAGCAGCAAGGTGAATTGATCATGTTTCTCTCTCAAATCTCAATGCTATATTATGCAGGAAGTGAAGAAGGAAAGGAAGAAGAAATAAGGTAGGGGGGAAATAAAGAATTCCACTGGGAACGGCCATTTATTCTGTTTCCATATGTCTCTGTCCAAAATCCAGCTTCCTCCTGGGCATTCCACAAATTCACAAGCTATTTTATCTTCCTATCACTCATCATTCGTCTATTATTATTGTTACTTAATCCCAGAAACTATACTTGAAAGCTGTCTCAAAATCACCTAACACAGTACCCCGGACATCACAACGTCTGGCAGAACATCTCTGGTAATTATCACCACTCTCCCCGCGAACACCACCTATGCTCCCTGAACCGCTGCTGTCTGACGTGTCCAT